AGAACGTAGGCATCCAGGGTACAACCTACACAGGCGTTAAAAATGATGGAATTACATACTGACTGATAGAGCAATACAGCGACAGGTAGGGCTAAGAAGACAAAAAGCAAGTTATAAAACCGTGTGTATGGTTGCATTTCATAAAAAACGTAATAAAAGAAATAGCAAGGCATAGAAAAAAGTTTGAAAAGACATACCAAAATGTTAACAGTGGTTATAATCAGATGGTGTAAAACATGTGATTTGTTTTCTTTTCACTCATCTATAGTTTCTTTTAAAAAAAAAAGTATATATATTATTTATGTACCAAAAAGGCATTAAAAAAAGGGGGGGAAAAACCTGGTACTCTTGGGAAAGTCTACTTGTCCACCTCATACTAATCATTAAATTCTTACATTTGCTGCAAGAAGGAACTACCTGCCTGCCACACCTTAAGATGTTGCTACAACAATCCATCTAAAGTCAGGACTTTATTATGGAAAGCGGTTCCACAGGGTAAAACAGTAACACATTCCCCACGGCTGCAGATCACCAGACCTGCCAATCATGTGCCAACACGTCCCCCAGTCGGACTGGGCCGTGGCTCCTCTGGCTCCTGCCAGGTGCGCAGGGTCCGTGTGGCCTGGGGACCACGCTGCACGGGCTCTGCGTCGTCAGAGAGAGTGGGCGCGGCTCGATCCCGCGGGAAACACAGGCCCGCCAGCGGCTCCTCAACAGACAGCGTCGCCGCCAGGGTTCGCAGACTCCTCTGAGATGCACATGTTTTTAATTGAAAAGAGTGTTTCTTCTGCTTGCCCTGCCGCTCCTCCCCCAACACACACACACACACACACACACACACACACACACACACTCACTCACACTCACTCCTAAATCCACTAGCCCATTTCATCCAGCTGCCAGATTCGTGCTCAAGTCTCCTTCTTGCATTTAGAGAGGAACTAGAAGACCCATATCCTTGAGTCCGGCGTGTGGAGGGGACAGGTGAGTAACACACATTTCTACACAGGATCCCCTCTCCACGCCGTCACCCCCCCCCCCGCCCCCCCAGAATATGTAACATTTCTTTGGGAGAAACCATGTAACCAGAAATTACGATCCGTTTAAACCGTGCGTATCATTTAAAAATCTATGTGGACCTGGATCTGCCAGCTTCTAGTTTAAACCGTCAGCGCTTCAAACTGCAGGGACATTTCATGTGAACAAGAGAATCGAAACTTCTAGAAGGACGGACGGTGCAAAGAGCCCAGCAGAGAGCGGGAAGGCTCCCTCCTGAAGCACAGCCTCCCTTGCAGGGCCAGCCGGGCCAAGTCACATCCCGCTGCCTCCCCCTGAGCGCCCACCTGGCCAGGACCTTCTGAGAGGTCGCCCTGTGAGCCCTGCACGCCCGCTGGCTGGCTCTAGAGGGCAGACTTTTCTACAAAATTCACTCTATCTATCTATCTATCTATCTATCTATCTATCTTTCACCTGAGGGTATTTTCCACTGATTTTTAGAGAGAGTGGAAAAGAGAGAAAAACACAGAAACATCGATGTGAGAGAAACGCATCGATTGGTTGCCTCCTGCATGAACCCTGACCAGGGCCCAGGCCAGGGAGGTGCGTGCCCTCGACTGGAATCGAACCTGGGACCCTTCGGTTCGTAGGCTGACACGCTATCCACTGTGCTAAACCAGCCGGGGCAAGAAAGCATTCTTTTTAAACGGGCTGATGGCGGTGATTGTGGGCAGCACATGACTAATCTGTTTCACCCCTGACTTGGTGTTTCACATCAAATGACGCCACACCAGTCATGGTTCAGCAAGCCGCCCCCTGAAGGCCGAGCTGTGGCCTGTCCCCGCCTGGAGCGGCCCGCGAGGAGGCTGCAGGCCAGCTGTCCGCGGTGGACGGTCCCCCTGGGTGGGCAGGCCCTGCTCGCCCTGCTCTGCCCACTGTGCGGCTCCTCCCTGCACAGAGCGGGCTCCTGTCTGGGAAGGGGGCGGGCAGGGCACGGCAACCCCCCAGCCAGGACTCAGTCTGCCGCTCTGTGGTCTCAGGGCCTCCCGCGCGTCTTGAACGAACCACTGCCTCCACTGACGCCATCGACAAAGAACTCAAAGTGGGTCTGTCTCAGGTCTGGCCTCTCAGGGCGTGTGCTCCTGACACTCCCCGGGAGAGAGCTCTGCAGAATCAGAATGCTTCCGTTCCGATGCTCACGTGGACACCGGCGCTGGCCATGGACATCTGTTCAAATAGCGTATCCGCAGTGTGTGCTGTTACCAGAATACAAGGGAACTGTTTTGGCCCCAGCCGGTTTGGCTCAGTGGATAGAGCATCGGCCTGTGGTCCCGGGTTCGATTCTGGTCAAGGGCACGTACCTCGCTTGCGGGTTCCTCCCCGACCCGGGCCCTGGTCGGGGCACGTGCAGGAGGCAACCCATCGATGTGTTTCTCTCACATCAATGTTTCTGTCTCTCCCTCTCTCTTCCACTCTGTAAAAATCAACGGAAAAATATCCGTGGGTGAGGATGAGAGAGAGAGAGAGAGAGAGAGAGAGAGAGAGAGAACGTTTTTCTTGGCCTCAAGGATGACCAAAGGGAGACCAGTGTGGGGCTCGTAGACGGGCACACGACCAAGGTCAGGAGGCCCGGACGCGGAGCCCACGGGCTGCTCACTCCCCGGTGACCTGGGCATGTCGCTTGCTGACTCGGCCTCCTGTCTACGAAACAGGGGCACTGGTCTCCGCTCAGGCCTCCCCGGCTGAGCCTGAAGGGACTGCGTGCAGGTGAGTATGGTGGCGAGGTACCGGCCACACGAGTGTCAGGTCTTGACTGGCTCTCTGTCACGTCGAGGCCTGACCACCTGCCACACCCTGTCTCTCGGGGGTTTTCCATCCCTGGACACCAGGGGGGCTCGTCTCCACTCGCCACTCCACGTGGCCATGCACCCCGTTGGGCCTTTACTGGGACAAAGTGATTTTTAAGGCTCATTACGAATAAGGGGCCACAGGTTTTACATGGCTTCTCTCGGGCCCCGGGTTTCACGGTGCGGAAAGAATCTAACCGGGACCAGGCGGCCAGTGGTGATGGCAGAGCCAGGAGACGGCACTTGCCAACGAAACGCAGCCCTGGCCCCGCCCTCCCAGCACACAGTGTGGCGGGTGCTCCTGGGTGACAGGTCTGTCCTGCCTGCACCTGGCTTCCGACAGCGACCACGAAGGACATGAGTGTGAGGCTGGGGACGGCGCCCTGGTAAGCGAGGCCGGGAAAACCGGGGAATTCAGGGTCGTTTCCGTTGCCCTGAGCCACCCGCACGGAGCCACAGGCTGTCAGACGGGGACGGGGCCAGTCTCCCCTGGGCTGTCCGGGGTCACTGCCCTTAAAAGAAAGTAAATGTTGAAACATGAAATCTTTAGAGGAGCAGAGGAACGCAGCCCAGGGCCTGGTGACCCGCCTTTCCCTGCAGAGGAGCCCGCGGCTCGGCTCGGGGCCTGGGACACGTTCGCATTGGCCTCCAAGCTCTCCCAGGGTGGGTGAGGGGACCTCGGGACACACGGGACGCAGCCGCCACCGTGGTAACAGCTCTGCTGCTTCCGGCATTTGCTACAGTCACTGCTACGGAGCACAGGTGCCTTTAGCAACTCCCCTTCCTCTGACTGTGCTGCCTGAGCTGTCAGCCGAGTCGACCCACGTGGAGCCTTAGCCGGTGTGGGTCAGTGGATAGAGCGTCAGCCTGTGGACCAAAGGGTCCCGGGTTCAATTCCGGTCAAGGGCATATACCTCAGTTACAGGCTCCTCTCCAGGCCGGGCCCTTGTCAGGGCGTGTGCAGGAGGCAACCAATCGATGTGTCTCTCTCACAGCGATGTTTCTCTGTCTCTTCTTCTCTCTTCCACTCTCTCTAAAATCAATGGGAAAATATCCTCGGGTGAGGATTAACAACAACAACAAGACCCACATTGAGGTTTTAAACCCTGGAGCCCACTGCTCCTGGGCAGCCATGTCCCCGGTCTGCTGCCAGGTGGGCTGACCTGCCTGAGAAGAATCCCTTTACTCACTGCCGGCCACAGGCCCAGCCCAGGCCCAGCCCAGTCTCCAGCTCAGCCAGTGAGGAGCTGCCCAAGCTGTCCTGAGCCGCCTGGGGCTCCGGGGTGGGGCAGGCCAGCCGCGCCCTGCGTCTCCCGTGCACCCTGCGCCTCCCGTGCGCCCTGCATCTCCCGTGCCAGCCTGCGGGGACTCTGCTGAAGCTGTGCTCCAGGCCACCAGCCCTCCCTCCACCTTCTCCCTTCTCCCTCCTCCCCTGTGCAGAGGGCTCAGCTCCATGGAGGGAGCAGCAGGACCTGTACCCTCTCCGTGGGGCCCAGGTCACGTGCCCGCCCTCAGGCTGTGTTATCATCTACCCAGACTCAGCAGGGAGAAATCCTACCCACGTGGGAACCTCTTTCTAGAAAGGGAAGTTCTCTTAGGGGTTCACAAAGCAGGTTCAGGTACACCAAGGCTCTCTTAGAAAGGCCCACGGCCAGGGATTCAACCCTGTGCCAGTCCCTGCCAATGAAGGACGACAAGGGCATGCAGTGCCCACTGAGAGGAGGTGGGTGGCGCCAGCCCCTCCCTCAGCAGGACCTGAGGGGGTGGAGGCAGACCTGGGCCAAGGCCAGCCTCCCTGAGCTGACTCTCCCCCACTGGGCTGGTGTGACTTCTTCCTCAACGGCCCAAACCCAACATAGGATCCCAGTGCAACCCGTGGTCCTGGAATCCCAGCTACAGGCCCCACGACTAGAGAGTGAGGGTGGTCCCAGGGTCAGAGACCAGGGCAGTGGGCCGTGGATGGGCGCCTGGGGCGGGAGGACTCCTGCCAGCTCCTGCTGCCTCCGCGGCCACCCTCCCAGGCTCAGGGCCACGGAGCCAAGCCATGGGCTTGACCACACAAGTGCATTCACGCCTGACGCCGACCCAGGGCACCAGGACGCTGGTCTGTCGGCAGGGACTCTGCTGGGGCTGGATTGAAACACTAAATCCTGGGCATGTGTTTAATTGAACAAGTATTTATTAAGCACCTACTGTGTGCCAGGCACTGTGCGAGGCGCCCTCACTGCGTGCTGTCCCCAGGGCACAGCGATCTGCTCAGAAACTAAAACCAAGGAAAGGAGCGTGGTCGCAGCCTCACAACTGGGGCGGGATGAGGGGTCGGGGGTCAGGGGTCCCCGGGCCAGGAAGGCACCTCCCGAAGCCTGTCTCCTTTCTCCGGACAAGCAGCTGCTCTACCGCATCTGGATCGCTACAGGGAGGGAGCTCTTACCTCCACGGCCACACTGGGCGCCTGGGGGACATTCAGATACTCCAAATGCCACTCAAAAAACAGGAGGTGTGATGGATACTCACGTTTGGATTAGAAAACTCATTTCAGCTCATGTGGCTGCAACAACCCTTAAGAAAGATATAAACATCCCTGCCCTGACTGCGTAAACGTAAGGTAGACCTAGTCTGGGTTCCTGAGTCAGAATCTTCCAGCGGCCCGCAACCTCGAAAGGCCAGAGAAGCGAGAGGAGACTGCGATCCCGGAGGCGAGGCGGCACGGCGGTCTGGCACCGCGCGCGCAGCCGCGCCTGCAGGGACAGAAGCAACACCCGCAGCAGGACGTCCTGGCCCAGCCGCCTCCACACACCTGTGGCTCCCGCGGGGCCGGCCGCGCCCTAGTTGTCGGTGCCCAGCTTGGAGAGGCCGCGGCGGAAGTCGTGCAGGTCGTCGATCTTCCCGTCCAGCACCTCCAAGAAGTTCTTCAACTCCACCTTTAGGTGGCGCTGTCGGTATTTGCTCTCCTCAATGTCCATCTTCAGCGAACGCACTTTGTCCTCCAAGTTTTGATTGTCTTTCTCCGCGGCCTGAAGCAAAACCAAAGGAGAAGGGTCTGGAGCAGTGATTCCCAAAGTGGGCGCTACCGCCCCCCGGTGGGCGCTGCAGCGATCCAGGGGGGCGGTGATGGCCACAGGTGCATTTGGGGGCGATGAGTAACTGCTATTAAAATTTTAAAAAAATTAATTTCCAGGGGCTGAGTAATATTTTTTCTGGAAAGGGGGCGGTAGGCCAAATAAGTTTGGGAACCACTGGTCTGGAGAACAGTGAGGGGGGTCCGCTGAGACCTGCGACGGCTGCAGCCCGGACCTGTGAGTGCCTCAGCACACGGACCAGGACAGCTAAGCGAGCCCTTCTTTCCTGCCTGTCCCCGGGCAGAGGTGCCGACAGACAGTGTGTGACCAACACGGGGCCTGGAAAACGACGTTCCTACACAGAACACAGAACTCGGACACCTGCCCGGGGAGCCCAGTGCTAACCGGCCCTTTTACCAGTGCCCAGCAGAGAAAGTCTGAAATCCCAGCAGGAGGCGTTTTCAGCCCCAGGCCCAGCCGGTCAGCAGAGGCCCACTGAGCTCCATCCTGATAACCTAACCCTAGCCAGTTGCGAATGCTGGGGCTGCACACCTGAATATACGGCTCCTGAGTGAGGAGAGCCTGGAGGTAGAGGAGGTTTAAACCCTCCTTTTGTGACCAGAAATCTGAGGCTGGCCTGGCTGGCGCGGCTCAGTGGTTGAGCGCCGACCTATGAACCTGGTGGTCACGGTTTGATTCCTGGTCAGGACACATGCCCGGGTTGCGGGCTCGATCCCCAGTGTGGGGCATGCAGGAGGCAACAGATAAATGATTCTCTCTCATCACTGATGTTTCTATCGCTCTCCCTTTTTCTCCCTTCCTCTCTGAAATCAATTAAATAAATAAATAAAAAAGACTGAGGGCAGTGAGGGGCGTCTGCAAGGTCACGGCTGGGGAGTGGAGAGGTGGGACAGCACCCTTAGCCCTTCCTTCTGCCCCCGCTCCTCACCCCGCTGTGGTTCTGCAGGGGCTTCTGTGGACTTGAAACAGCCACCTGCACTATGGCTGTGGCACAGGACACCTTCGTTCGGTGGAAAAGCCACAGGACAAATGCTGCTGAGCCTTCTGGGGAGGAGTCACATGACCAGTGCCTTCTCATCTGAGCCTCCCGCCCTTACCTCTAACTTCTCAGAGACGTATTCACACTCTGACATGAGCTGAGGTATGATTTCACTCTGTTTTCGGAGATCTTTCAACTCCTACGGGAGAAAGAAATTTGAAAAAGCATGTGAAATCAGGTCAGATAAAAGGTATTCTTGAACCCCCTCCCTCCCACTTGGGCATCTAGGAATGGAAGCAGCTTTTGGAATCCATGCTGTTTGCACAGATAATAAAGGTGATGACGCCAACACTGAACCCTTCAGGTATTCTAAGGGCCGGGTGCAGTACATGCACGATCGCACACCACCATGGCGGAAGGTCTTCTTATGCTTCCTGCTCTGTGGGTGGGGAAACTGAGGCTGAGAACGGGTTGGCAGCCTGCCCGTGGCCGCCAGCCTCTGTGTACTTAGCTGTCCTGCCCCCCAGAAAACGAATGGCTCTCACTGCACTAATTTCACAGCCGAGTTCAACTTCTGATGATACAGCGTCTAAAAAAGTTCCCAAGTGTCTGGTACAAAGTTCAACTCCCTCTGGGATCGGGGGGCGGCTGACCACACAGCACACACAGCGAGGAGGCTGTAGCATCTGCGCCCTGACGTGGCCCTTGGCTCTGACTCTGTCGATGTCCGGGCAGCTGCCAGGGCCGTCACATGCCCAGTCACCTGCTGCGCCCTTGGGGACAGCGAGGGGCCGTCAGAGCCGTGACTCACCGTCTCCTTCTCTCGGAGTTCCGACTCCAGGTCCTCGATCCTCCGCTTCAGCTGGGTGTTCTTCTCCTTCTCCCTGTGGATCTCACTGCACTGTTCTTCCAGCTCGTCAATCTTGGGGAAACATCACACAGGAGGCAGGGACGCTAGCTTACTTTTGTCATTAAACAAAAGATCGACACATTATGCGTCCTTTCTTTCTATTTTTTTTCTATTAATTCTCACCAAGGATGTATTTCCATTGATTTTTTCAGAGAGAGGGAAAGACAGAGAGCAACATCGATTGGTTGCCTTCTGCACGTGTCCCTACCAGGACCCAGGCCGGGGGAGGAGCCTGCAACCAAGGTATGTGCCCCTGACCGGAATTGAACCCAGGACCCTTCAGTCCGCAGGCTGACACTCTATCCACTGAGCCAAACTTATTTCTTTTAAGATAAACCTAAAACTAGCCCACTTGTGCTTCTCAGAGGCTACAATCAAACTCCATGGGGCTCCCGGAGAAGCTGCCGGTCCCTTTCGGCAGGAGGTGCCTCACTCACCACCAGCAGAGCCACCTGAGCCACCCAGCCCAGCCTCAGGATGCTCGGGCTCCTGGCTGCTCTCACGACCAGAGGGCAGGAGCTGCAGGTTCGCTTTAAGGATCTGTCATGAGCAGGGGCCAGATGGCCCATGGATCTACCTGCTTCTCCCCAGAATGATTTACATCTCTATTATTATTATTATTATCAGCATGGAAATTTATTCAATTTCAAATGATTTTACATCGTTTTAATCACGTCCTGAATTATTCCGTTTCATGGGTTTAAGCCAGCGGGGTAGACACCAGAGCCCTGTGGGGCAGTGGCCACCAAGGGGGACGGGATGACATTTCAAATGTTTTAAATCAGGACCTTTCCCTAGTGGTGCACACGGGCGCCTGGCCTGCAGGCCTCTTCCTGGAGGGGAGGGGGGGGCGGGTGCACCTTTCTCTCCCTCCCCAGCCTGCTCCCTCAGAAGAACAGCCAAGGCCAGAGTGTGTGTGCAGAGCGGACGGCAAGAGTGGAACCCACGTGTAACACAAAAGCGCCTCTCAGCGGGCACTTCCTCCCCCCGCCCTTGGGCTCTTATCCTCGGGCGCAGAGAGAAGCTGGGCTCTTGGCTCCGAAAAAGAAAGAGAGGGCAATCGATCAGCCAGCCTGGGAAGGGAGCCTGCAGCGTCAGCACCTGGCCCCGCGCCCCTGGCCGTCAGCACTGTGGGCCTGAAAGGAAAACGCCACACGAGGCAGTTTCATGTGCCATCTGTACCACGAAGACGGTGAGACAGAGCGTGGCCTCCCGTGGCCCCACTCAGGTCAGGTGGGCCAGGGAGAGTGAATACCAAGGTCAATGTGCTGTGTCCCCCTGTCATGCCCACAGCTGGTGGGGTCAACGTGCTGACCATTCAAACACGGCCAGCGTGGCTCGGTGGTTGAGCGTTGACCTATGAACCAGGAGGTCAAGGTTCGATTCCCGGTCAGGGCACATGCCCGGGGTTGTGGGCTCGATCCCCAGTGGGGGGCGTGCAGGAGGCAACTGATCAGTGATTCTCTCTCATCACTGATGTTTCTCTCTCTCTCTCTCCCTCTTCCTTCCTCTCTGAAATCAATAAAAGTATCTTTAAGAAAAAATAAAGTTGCCGAAACCGGTTTGACTCAGTGGATAGAGCGTCGGCCTGCGGACTGAAAGGTCCCAGGTTCGATTCCGGTCAAGGGCATGTACCTGGGTTGCGGGCACATCCCCAGTGGGGGATGTGCAAGAGGCAGCTGATCGATGTTTCTCTCTCATCGATGTTTCTGACTATCTATCTCTCTCTCCCTTCCTCTCTGTAAAAAATCAATAAAATATATTTAAAAATAAATAAATAAATAAATAAATAAAGTAATAAATCAGTTATTGAAATAGAGGGAGGAGGCAGCAAGTCTTCCCGCTGCCGCTGCCCCTCCCGCTGGCCGTGCCCCTCAGCCCCCCAGAGCCCACCTTGTGCCTCAGCCGGTCATTCTCGTCGCGGCAGATGGAGAACTGCCTCTTCCACTGCTCCACGCTGGTGGCGGACTCCTGCAGCGCCGTGGTCAGCCGGGCGTTGCTCTCCCGCAGGGTCTGCAGCTCGATCTCCCATTTCTTCACGTTGGCCGCGCTGCAAGGCAGAGGCCGGGAGATGACCGGGAGGGCGGGCGCTGACCGTCCCCCTGCCCCGACCTGTGGGCTGGCTGGAGAAACAAGTGCCAGAGGGACTGGCCTGTCTTGTGTGGACCCATCACCTTGCTGGGCTGTTTTTTTTTAAAAAGAATCCCTTTAGAGCCCTGGCCGGTGTGGCTCAGTGGATAGAGCGTCGGCCTGCAGACCAAAGGGTCCCGGGTTCGATTCCGATCAAGGGCACGTACCTCAGATGCAGGCTCCTCCCCAGCCAGGCCCTGGTTGGGGCTCATACAGGAGGCAACCAATCGATGTGTTTCTCTCACATTGATGTTTCTCTCTGTCTTTCCCTCTCTCTTCCACTCTCTCAAAAATCAATGGATGAAAGTAAAAATAATAATAATAATAAAAATAATAATTAAAAAAAAACAACAAAAAAATCAATGGGAAAACATTCTCAGGTGATGATTTAAAAAAACGAATCACTTTAGAAATGAACAGGATTCTTAGAGAAGGAAGAGACCAAGCTCACAGAGTCAGACCCTGTCCCTCCTCCCCCCAGCTGACCTCTGACACAGAACGAGGACCGCTTTCTCCCTGAAATGAGCCTCAAGGTCACAAGTTCTGAAGTGCTGGGCCAACCTGACCCCGGGGCCTCTGAGAATCTCATGAAGCTTCTGGATTTCTTTCAACAAGTTCCTGCATTCACCTTGGAGCCAAAAAAAAACAAAAAAAAAACACAACCCCCCCCCCCCTCTAGATTTAACAAGAAAACAGGTGATAATGGTCCCACTGTCACTGGTGCCTCCTCAGAGCCTTGGAAGCAGGCCTGGCGGCACAGCAGGCCCAGGAAAGCATTAGGCTTGGCCCTGCAGGCGGGACTCGAAATTCAATAAATCCAGGAGCTTTCGCAGCAACATAAACTTACATGAAGTGAATTATATGAAGCGAATGAGGTTATAAATATCCCAATGGCCCTTGGCAGAAAAAGGTCCCCCAGCCCTGCCTCGGAAGGAATCCAGACTTGAGAGCCGAGGGCAGAGGAGACCATGACTGGGACTCCCCAGAGGGCAGAACGGGGGTTCTAGCCACGGGTCTGAGGGACACCTCTACGGTACCCCATACACCGAGTTTATCTTTTTGTGGTTGTTGTTAATCCTCACCCAAGGATATTTTTCCATTGATTTTTAGGGAGAGTGGAAGACAGAGGGAAAGACAGAGAAATACGTTGATGTGAGAGAAACACATCAATTGTTTGCCTCCTGCAGGAGCCCCAATCAGGGCCCAGTCAGGGGAGGAGCCTGCAACCAAGGTGCGTGCCCTTGACCGGAATGGAACCGGGACCCTTTGGTCTGCAGGCTGACGCTCTATCCACTGAGCCAAACTGACCAGGGCCCAAGTTTATCTTTGACCCTGTGCTTCCAGTGGAGAAGTTTTAGAAAACAAACTGGAGTCAGGCTCCCCTCAGAGGCTGTTTGGTTTTCAGGCTCCTTTGTTTCCCTGCTCGGAGCCCAGGCATCTGCGGTCTGAACATCTCGGGTGATGGGCAGAGCTTGCACCACAAGCTGTCAGAGTCCTGGCTCCTGCTTAGCACGGCCTGGCAGAGGGGAGTTCTGCGTCTAACGGCTTTTTAAACAGTAGATGCAGCTGTATCTGGATAATCTGCATTATCTTTCATCCCACAGCCTCAGGACCCGGGACGGTGATAGGAAAATACACACTTCCAGTTCAAACAATACAGACTGAAAAAATAGAAAGCATTATTATCTGATTAGTTCCAGGACTGATGATGGAGAACTTAAGCTGATTTGGGGAAATGGCTTCCCCTCATTCCTCTAATTCACTTCTCCACTAAATTGGGATTTCAAAACATTGATTTTTAGGGCTAAAATGTGTTCATTCAGGCAGCACACTGCGACTTAAACAATCAAGAATAGGCCCGGCCGGCGTGGCTCAGTGGTTGAGCATCGACCTAGGAACCAGGAGGTCCCAGTTCAATTCCCAGTCAGGGTGCATGCCCGGGTTGCAGGCTCGATCCCCAGCAGGGGACGTGCAGGAGGCAGCAGATGAGTGATTCTCTCTCATCGTTGATGTATCTCTCTCTCCCTCTCCCTCTCTGAAATCAATAAAAATATATTTAAAAACAAAAAAAATCACACAATGAAGAATAGTCTGGTAGCTGTCTGATGAGAAAGAAAAAAGACTGGTCACAGTTCTGTCCTTTGAAACCCTGACAAAGCCCACAATCCAAAACCGGGGGCTGGGTCTAAGGATCACGGTTGCCTGGACTCCTAGGTCAGGTCACAGGCATTAAGCTCTGAGAACAGGCCGGGCCGGCTGAGTGGAGAGGTGGTGCCAACAGACGTGGTCAGCAAGGCAGAGAGCAGCCACGAGGCCAGCTGGCCGGGCTTCCCTCGGCCCAGAGGTGAGACTGGCCACTCCCCACTTGCGGAGCCCAGCCCAGCGGGAGCCTCCGGAGAACCAGCGTCTGGACTTAAGCCCCTTACCTCTGCGTCAGCGCGATCTTCAGCTTGTTGTTCTCAGACTTGAGGTGGGTGTCCACGGGGCTCGCGTGAGACGCCTTTTCATCGTCTGTCCCGTTGACACTGGATGCCTGAGCAGAAGATGGGGTTTCACACCCAGACTCCTGGCCAAAGTGAATTACCTCACACGTTACTGCGGGTCCTTACAGGGGCAACGGGTCAGGCATACGAGACACTGTTTCTGAGGGTGGGAACCACTCGTCTCACGGACACGCAGCTGTGACGAACAAGTCAGAGACCATCGAGAACCAAGGACAAGGCCCAGGAGGGGCCACAGCGAGCTCAGAGTCTGTGCACTTCACGGACCAGCGAGCGCCTGGGGCCATTTCACTCACACTCTCCCGATAAACCTAACACGCCTGGATACCTGGTCTCCTTAAATAGCACCGGCAGAAGCCACAAATTAAAAGAGGAGGAACCATTTATAACGAGGGAGGAGAAAAACCGTTACAGGCTGAGACAACTTCAGCTTCCTGGGGCTGTAAAAGGGAAGATCCACACTCATTAAAACAACAGGGACCAGCTCTGGGTGCCTGTGGTCTCCATGACTATTTAGCGTGTTATGAATATTCTGAGATGCTTTCTGTGATAAGTCATCCCACATGGTGGTGAAATCTCATCTGGTCTTGGATAAGCTCTCAGCAAGATCTTATTTAGCTTCCAATATGCATAATGGCAAAGGAAGGAACCGTGAAGGGAAGGATGTATAAATCTGACGAACTTTGCATTCCTACCTTGCAAAAAAATGCCATAAACCAAATTGAAATGCAAATAAAAACTTGGGGAGCCTGGCTAGCGTGGCTCAGTGGCTGAGTGTCGACCTATGGACCTGGACCAGGAGGTCGAGGTTCGATTTCCAGTCTTCATATGCCCGGATTGAGGGCTCGACACCCAGTGCGGGGCGTGCAGGAGGCAGCCGATCAATGATTCTTATCATTGATGTTTCTATCTCTCTCTCCTTACCTCTCTGAAATCAATAAAAATATATTTAAAACAAAACCTTGGGGAAATATCTGCTGCTAAACATTTGCAGATACTAAAAGCTAAATGTTAATACCGTCAAGCCTTGGGTGTCAGTCTTGACTGCTCCAGGTGCCCAGGCCTCGTGGTTCCCCTCCGACCAGCTGTCTCCAACATCCATCCTTCCCCTTCACCCTGTGGCTGCCCTGCCAGGCCATCCTCACCGCACAGCCTCCTCACAACTCTCTGTGGCACCCTGACTTCCTTACCACTCGCAGGCAACCCTCATGGCAATTCCAGATCAACAATCATAAAACACCTCCGATGTCTGCCAACTACTCAATAATAAATAATCTATAATAATAAAAGCGTAATATGCTAATTAGACCGAACAGCTGAATGACCTTCTGGACGAAGCTGCGGCAGTGGGGGCCGAGGCAGAGGTGGTTAGGGGTGATCAGGCCTGCAGGTGAGCAATTGGGGGTGATCAGGCAGGCAGGCAGAGGCGGTTAGGGGCAATCAAGCAGGCAGGCAGAGGCAGTTTGGGCCGATCAGGCAGGCAAATGGTTAGGGGCGATGAGGCAGGCAGGCAAGTGGTTAGGAGCCAGTGGTCCCGGATTGTGAGACCGCCCCCTCCCCCATGTATGAATTCTGTGCACTAGGCCTCTAGTTAAATTAATAATAAACTATCTGCTCGTGAAGAATTCCAGGTCTTTCCCAGTATCTGCAAGTGCATGGCTGTCCCTCCCACAGTGCACCTCACTCCCAGCCCCACTGTGCCCTGGCCGTCTTGCTGTTACACCTGCTTAATCCCAAACCCAAATCCCTGCTCCTGATGTTGGCTTTCCCTGTCTCCCTACAGACAACCTTGTCCCTAGATCAAGCCTTCCGCCCACCACGACATACACCCATCTAGACATCAGGAAGGCAGGCATTTTTATTTCAGGTCACAACAGGCCCCTCTTTGTTGTTGTTGTTGTTAGTCCTCACTCGAGGATATTTTTCCGTTGATTTCCAGAGAGAGAGTGTACAGGAGAGGTAGAGACAGAGAGAATCAGCAATGTGAGAGAGAGACATCGACTGGTTGCCTCCTACATGCGCCTCAACCAGGGCCGGTGATCTAGCCTGCAACCAGTGTATATGCCCTTGACCGGAACCAAACCCAGGACCCTTCAGTCCGAGGGCCGACACTCTACCCACTGAGCCAAACTGGCTAGGGCCGTGGTTGGCAAACTGCGGCACGTGAGCCACAAGCGGCTCTTTGACCCCTTGAGTGTGGCTCTTCCTAAGCCTTAGGACAGTGATGGCGAACCTATGACACGCGAACTCATTGTTTTGGTTGATTTTTCTTTGTGAAATGGCATTTAAATATATAAAATAAGTATCAAAAATATAAGTCTTTGTTTTACTATGGTTGCAAAGATCAAAACATTTCTATATGTGACACGGCACCAGAGTGAAGTTAGGGTTTTTCAAAATGCTGACACCCCGAGCTCAAAAGGTTCGCCATCACTGCCTTAGGAGGACCCTAATTAAGTGAATAACAATGTACCTACCTGTATAGTTTAAGTTTAAAAAATGTGGCTCTCAAAAGAAAGTTCAATCGTTGTACTGTTGATATTTGGCTCTGTTGACGAATGAGTTTGCCGACCACTGGGCTAGGACAACGGGTCCTCCTTAGTGAACCATCACTCTGTTAAGTAAAGGGACTACTGGGCAGAGCCACCTCTCCTTGGCTAAACCAGCTGCTGGAATGCCATCTCCCATCTGACTTTTTTTAAAAAAATATATTTTATTGATTTTTTACAGAGAGGAAGGGAGAGGGATAGAGAGTTAGAAACATCGATAAGAGAGAAACATCGATCAGCTGCCTCCTGCACACCCCCTACTGGGGATGTGCCCACAACCAAGGTACATGCCCTTGACCGGAATCAAACCTGGGACCTTTCAGTCCTCAGGCCGCCGCTCTATCCGCTGAGCCAAACCGGTTAGGGCTCCCATCTGACTTTTATTACAAAGGGAGACAGAGCTGAGGGCTCGCGGGCATCAGTCAAGCTTTCTCTCCCACAGGCACCGGCACCTGCCCTTGTCACTGAGCATCCTCCATGCAGCCCCACCTCCCACCGCAGGGAAGCAGCTGCCCTGTCACTGGTCCTGAAACACAGTGACCAGAGAACACCTCCTGGGGGCCAGGGACATGTGTTACCCTAATCTCAACAAATACAAATTTCCTATCAAAATACATCATCACAGGCCAGGCCGGCGTGGCTCGGTGGTTGAGTGTTGATCTATGAACAGGAGGTCACAGTTCGATTCCCGATCAGGGCACATGCCCGGGTTGCGGGCTCGATCCCCAGTAGGGAGGCGTGTGCAGGAGGCAGCTGATCAATGATTCTCTCTTTTCATTGATATTTCTATCTCTCTCTTCCTCTCTGAAATCAATAAAAATATATATTACCAAAAATGCATCACCACATCCTGAAAATGTCAGGAGTCTCACAAATGCATGTCCTGTCCACCTCGTGTGAACACGTCAAAAAACCTTCAAGATGCCCTGCGGCTGTACGTGCATAACCCATGGACACAGCCGACAGTGTGGTGAAGGCCTGGGGTGGGGAGGGCCCTAGAGGGGGTCAGTGGGGAAGTAAAGGGGACATTTGTAAAACTTTCAACAATAAAGATTTTTAAAAAGTAAGGAACTCCATAGGGGGAATGCCCTGCTGCTAAATTCCCTGTTTCTGGTCAAAGTGACAAGGAACAGAGTCTCGACCACGAATCGCCCCGGCTTTATCTTATGGACAAATCACTCACTTGGGAATGGTTACTCGACGTCTCGATTTTCTCCTGCGACTTGTCTCTGGCGAGTCTGGCGGCTTCTTTCACCTCCTGGAACTTCTCTGCGAACTGAACATGAAGAGCAGTTACGAAGGGTGTCGTGGCTGACAATCCTCACGCAGCTTAATTAGCTTGCGTCCGTGTTAGGCCAATCGATTCGGTGCCGATCCTGAAGAAGGATTTTACTTGAGATAAAAAAAAAATGGATATAAGGAACTCTTCTTCCAATAAACACCATTGGCCAAAGTCTGATCCGGGTCAATTCTGCAGCTACTGAAGCTAGTGTGATGATGAAGGACGGAAACAGACACCCCTGGTTAACGGTAACTCATGCAAAGGCAAGAAAAGTAGCTCAGTTGTACCCCAGAAGGAATCGGAAGAAAGCAACATCATGTCTAAGGAAAGATCCAAGAATTCCTACAAATCAATGCAATAAAAAAAAAAATCCAAAAAGTTAGGGAGGAGACACTGTTCTAGATTTTAAAAGCGTAAGATATGAAATACCAAAATGCCAAATAGCAAAATGCAACACATACTCTATGACTGAACGCTGTTTTGAATGGACTACCTATAAGCAACAGGGGAAATGTGACCGTGGACTGGACAAGACGACAAAGAAGAATCACTATTAATTTTATTACAAGTGTTGCCCTGCCTGGCTAGTGTGGCTCTGTGGACGAGCATCGACCCGGGAACCAAGAGGTCACCGGTTTGATTCTCTGTCAGGGCACATTGATCCCCAGTAGGGGGCGTGCAGGAGGCAGTGGATTGATGATGTTTCTCTCTCATCGATGTTTCTCTCTCTCTATCCCTCTTTCTTTCTCTCTAAAAATCAATACAAATATTACCCCCCCCCCCCAAAAAAAAGTGTTTCCCTGGCCAGTTTTCTCAGTTGTTAGAGCAGGGGTCCTCAAACTACGGCCACATGCAAATACAAATATTGTATTTGTTCCCGTTTTGTTTTTTTACTTCAAAATAAGATATGTGCAGTGTGCATAGGAATTTGTTCATAGTTTTTTTTTAAACTATAGTCCGGCCCTCCAACGGTCTGAGGGACAGTGAACTGGCCCCCTGTTTAAAAAGTTTGAGGACCCCTGGGTTAGAGCATCAGCCCACAGACCAAAGGGTCTCAGGTTTGATTCCTGGTCAAGGACACATACCTGGGTTGCAGGTTCCCCAACCCTGATAGGGGTGTGTGTGGGAGGCAACCAATTGATGTGTCTCTCTCACATCAATGTTTCTCTCACTCTCTGCCTCTCCCCTCCCTCCTCTTCTCTCTAGAAATCAGTGGAAGAAATATCCTAGGGTGAAGATTTTTTTAAAAAAAGTTATGCCGAAACTGGTTTGGCTCAGTGGATAGAGCATCGGCCTGCGGACTCAAAGGTCCCAGGTTTGATTCCGGTCAAGGGCATGTGCCTGGGTTGCGGGCACATCCCCAGTAGGAGATGTGCAGGAGGCAGCTGATCGGTGTTTCTCTCTCATCGATGTTTCTAACTCTCTATCTCTCTCCCTTCCTCTCTGTAAAAAATCAATAAAGATAAATTTTAAAAAAACATTTAAAAAAGTGCTAATGGTATTATGTCAAAAAATGTCATTTTTTAAGAAATAAATTCTGAAATTTTTAGGCGTAAAATGCTTTCTTTGATGTCTGTAATTTAACGTACTTCAGCTACAATAAAACATAAAGAAATGTGGCAAACGTTAACAACAAGGCGATGTGTACGCGGGTGTTTATTATACCATACCTCTCTCAAAGTTTAAAAAAATGTTTTAATATTTTCATGATAAAAAAATCCTTAAAAATCCCAGAA